GGTAGTGAGGAATTTAAAATTTTGTGTAAGTTAAAAAATGTGGATGATGTGCGCATATAGGTTGACATAGATGGCCCAAAATATTCTCATTTACATATAACATTTGTTTCCCAACAGCTGACAATAGAGTAGTGTGTTTTGTGCGTGTGTGTCAACTCATGCTGCTGCTTTAAAAGGATCACATGAACCCCGTCAGATAAGGGGACCCCTGAAATTTTGCTAAATAATTACATTCCATATATGTTTTCATAATATAATTCATTGATGTTATTAATTGATTTCAACGTGTTGAATTGAATAAACTGCCGATTCAACTCGCTGGTTGAAAAAGTATATAGTTTTATTTATTTTTATTGCATTGTATCAAGTATCATCGTGTATATATGGTAGTGTGGGTTCACTAATATAACAATTTTTTCTAAGTGTGATTTGTCACTTACATCCATCTCATGATACTTTCTTTGGAATTTAAACCCTCCCTTAAAATCATTTTGTAACTATTTATAAAACAATAAAATTGTGTAAAAACACTCCAGATTTTGTCTAACAACATGTACAAATTAAACTAAATTTTTTTTTTGATCAGTTGAAACAATTTGAAGTGTCAAAATATCATTATTAAAAGATTCAGAACTCTATACAATATAAAATTAAGATTCAATATGAAAATAACCTAAAATTGGAGAAACTATATATCAAAGATATACAATTGAGTTTCAGAAAACCAAAAAGATAGGTTTCATATCAGAAGGGTATTTAATATTAATCTGATTTTATCAAAACTTTATGCGGCTCCACTTGTTAGATGATTTTCATATGTGTATATTTTTAGACTATGATTTGTAAATTCTATTAGTGCTTCAAAGATAATTCGCATTAATTCTTGAAATGGTAATTTGAAAATGGTTTTCTATTGTATCTATAGGTGAAACTTCAAAAAAAGATGCTAAGTTAGATATACACAATATTGTTCACTATCAAAACGCATACAACAAATTGGTAAAT